ATCCCCAAACGTCTGGAGCACGTGGCGCACGCGCCTGCTGAGCAGGTGTCTGCGTGGTTGCCTGTGTGGGTTTCACCGCTGTGAAGTCGGGGGTCTCCTCGCCCCCGCCGCCCCCGCCAGGTCCCGCCTCTTCCTCCACCGCCAGGAACACACCTGCCAGGCAGGTTGAGAGGTGACAGGTCAGTGACCGCCCTCTCTACTGGACTCCAGGCAGCAAGGCATTGAGGGACTGAAGCAGGTGCACCCGTCTCTACCTTGCAGTTTCTCGTTCTAAGTCTGACCCAGCCATCGGCCAGCCTGCCTGATTGCCCTGTCTCCTCCACTCAGACTTTTCTGCAGGTGTCTCTCCACTGCTAGAATCAGGTTCTCGGGTGACAGTGGTGCCCTGGAAGCTCCAGCCGTGGCGGCCATTTGGGGAGTGAGCCAGCAGGTGTAAGATCTCCTCCCTCCCTCTCTCTCTCTCTTTCTCTCTCTGCCTTTCCATTATATAAAATGAATCTTTGGGAAAAGCAGCAATGATTTTCAAATTTAGAAAGTGCTTGCAAGAGAAGCCCCCCTTGCCCTGAGAGGAGCCTGGAGCTGGCGAGCTTGGACGTGCCCTGGGAGGGAGCTCCTCGGGGCTGACCACAGCCTGGCCGGGGGAGGAGCGAGGGCTGCGCTGGGCTTCCCCACCTGAGCCCCTGGGGCAGGTGGGGGAACTCCCAGCGCTCGCTCACACATCTGCTGTGCCGATTCCAGCCCAGCTACAGAACAACCACCCTTGCACCTGGACGCCTGCCGCCAGCGTCAACCACAGCTCGCTGGAAGCCACCAGACCTTGTGCTGTTTACAAAACTCCGTGATTCTTGGATGTCAAACGGCAGGAAACTTCACTCCTTAGAGCTTGCTGCCCAGGAGTTTGCGCTGGCCATTTCTTTGGCCAATTCATGGGGTTTAAAAAAAACATGGAAAGGAAGGAAGGGAAGAAAGAAGACAGCGTGGGTGAACCTGCTGGGCACCATGGCGACCTGGCCACGCTCCCCGGTGTGCGGGGCCGAGACGCAGCTGATGTAGACGGGCAGGCCCCTCAGCAGGAAGCTGGACAGAGGACACGGCCGGCTCTCCCGTGTGGGCAGAGGGGCCCCGGGGCGCCCAGACCCTGTCACAGCGCACCCAGCCCTGCGCTCCGTTCTGCCGCCCGCCCTCACTGTCCCCTCCCCCCGTGAGCCCAGGTGCAGCCTGGTGGGCGGCCCAGGTGCCTCTGAGAGCCGGGGCTCCCACCCACTCCCCCAGGGGCCCCTACGGCTGTGGGGCTCATTGTGTCCCCGGCTGTCAGTCCCTGTTGTCTCATCAGCTGACGTCAGCTTTCACACACACCCCTGGTTCCGCATTCCCACGGGGCCCCTCCTCCCTCCTGTTGGCCCTCCTGCAGCTCAGTCACATGTCAGAGACCGGGAGAGGAGACCTGCAGTAATACTGGGCCAGCTGTGTACACTAGAAGGTGCCCCAAGGACTCCATACCACCCCAAAGAACACAGGATAAGATTCTACTGATCACATATATTTATATACATATAATAAACTTTAAAATGCCCTCCAAAGGAACCAGTGCTGTGGCTTAGCAGGTAAAGCTACCGCCTGCAGTGCCGTCATCCCATGTGGGCACCAGTTCGAGTCCTGGCTGCTCCACTCCCCGTCCAGCTCTCTGCTGTGGCCTGAGAAAGCAGTAGAAGATGGCCCAAGTCCTTGGGCCCCTGCACCTTCATGGGAGACCCAGAGGAGGCTCCTGGCTCCTGGCTTCAGATTGGCACAACTCCGGCCGTTGTGGCCATTTGGGAAGTGAACCAGTGGATGGAGGACCTCGCTCTCTCTCTCTCTCTGCCTCTGCCCCTCCGTAACTCTGCCTTTCAAATAAATACATCTTAAAAAAGAAAAGCTGCCCCCTAAGGTAATGCAGGTGAAGTGTGGCCTTCGTAGCTTTGGGGAGTTTGCATACATGCTCAGTAAGGACCAAGGATTCGGGTGGGGGAGGGGGGCCCTGGCTCCGGGCAGCAGCACCCAGGTGCCAAGGCAGTGCGGACCCCCAAGGGCCTGGGTCAGCTGGAAACCCAGAGATGGGGAAGTCAGGAGTTCTGGAAATGCCGTGGGGCGTCTGTGGCCATGTGGGCCCCCTCCCCACAGTCGGCACACCCGGAGCGTCTGTGGAGTGGGAGCCGCTCCACACACTCTGGGGATCTGTGGAGTGGGGGCCCCTCCCCACACTCTGGGGATCTGTGGAGTGGGGGCCCCTCCCCACACTCTGGGGATCTGTGGAGTGGGGGCCCCTCCCCACACTCGGGGCTGTCACAGCAGCTCCGTCTCTTGGGTTCTGTGCACAAAGCCAGGCTGTCATTCATGACGGGGCAGGAGAGAGCAAGGTCCTCTTTTTTTTAAAGATCCATTTTATCTATTTGAAAGACAGAGTTACAGAGACAGGTAGAGACAGAGAGAGAGGTCTTCCATCCGCTGGTTCACTCCCCGGATGGCCGCAATGGCCGAAGCTGTGCAGATCTGAAGCCAGGAGCCAGGACCTTCCTCCAGGTCTCCCACGTGGGTGCAGGAGCCCAAGCACTTGGCCATCTTCCACTGCTCTCCCAGGCCACAGCAGAGAGCTGGATCAGAAGGGGAGCAGCCGGGACTAGAACCGGCACCCATATGGGATGCAGCACTGCAGGCCAGGGCGTTACCCGCTGCGCCCCCGCGCTGGCCTCAAGTAAGGTCCTTGTTAAAACACCCAGCTGTGCCCCTCTTATGCTTGGGCTCACCGAGTCTGGACGGGTGTCCATCTGGGGAGGACGCAGACGGGACAGCGTGGCTGCAGGGACCTGGTCTCGCGGCCTGGGCCCAGGCCTCTGTCCCGTGGGAGCCCAGGCTGCCGCTGCTTCTGGCTCTGCTGGCTGTGGCACCCTCACCCGGCCCCTGGTCTCCCCGCCGGGTGCCTGTGTCTCCGTGTCCGCACACTCCTCCCGGGCCCTTCCGCCTGTCACCAGTTACGGCCGGAAGACTGGGAGCAGGGTGATTTCCACAACCTCGGTCTTTGCCTTCAAGAAAGGGAAAAGCCCCCTGCTCCCTGTCCTCCCTTCTGTTGGCTGGAATGCGGGTAAGAAGCAGGGAGCTCCCGCAGCCCCCTGGTACCCTGAGGACGGCAGAGACCAGCTCAGCGTCCTGGACTGTCCTTGCGCCCCCGTCGTCCGCGGAGAGACAAGTCAGGGGGTGGAAAGCCAGAGCTCCGCCCCGGCTCCCACCAGGAGATCCTCACGCTGAACCACGTGTGGGATTCGCGCGCTGAGCTGTCTCCACTGCGCAGGCGCGGGCTCCGCTCCGTCCGGCGCGGGGAGCGAGGACACCGGGTGCTCCAGCCCGCGGGTGCAGCATCAGGGCGCCCGCCGCGTGCCCCCCACAGACGCGCTGTACAGAGGGACGGGCAGAAGGGGGCCGCGCCGGCACCGCCACGGCTTCCTGGCCGCCGTTCTCCCTGCGCGGAACGTGGGAGCAGCCCCGGGTGGGGAAACTGCCCCCAAGCAGCGGAGCAGACGAGAGGATGGGGAGTGGGAGGCGGGCGGGGTCGAGGGCAGGAGGTGGCCAGCGCGTGGCAATGCGGGCGTGGGGTCCCTGGGGACGCCCCTCCTCCTGGCGTTTGCATCTGAAAACTGAGAAGCCGCTGAGTACTGGAACGAGACTTCCTGGAAAGGAGGGGACCACGCGGAGACAAGGGTCTGGCCTGGGCTGGGGTCCTCAAGGGGCGAGGACCCCCCAGTCTTCAGGGTCGGCCCTCATCCAGCCTGACGCCCGCCCTCCAGGAAGCCCCCGCCCACGGGGCTCCGGGAGAAGCTGCCCTCAGCCCGGCCTTGGCCGCCGGAGCCCCCGCGGTGGCAGGGAGGCTGGAAGGAGGCTCCTGCGAGCACGCGTGTTACACGTATGTCAGCACACATGACCGGGATCTGAAAAGGACTTGAAAACGCTGTGTTTTCCTGGCCTCGCTGTCGCCTGTCCGGCCTCAGAAGCAGTTGGTGCAAAATTTCCAAAACGGGAGGCCTGAGTGCTCACGCGTGCCGAAATCGACCAGAAAGCATCGAGACCGCCCCAGCGACTTTCCAAGAGGACCCTGGGAAAACCGCCTTCCGTCGGGACGAAGAATGGGATTATGTGTAAACGTGCACGCATGTACGCACGCGTGTCACACGTATGTGCTTGATGAACACACGCGTCTGATTGCTCACTAAGAAAGTACCAGCGGATCCTGGCTCACTGCCTCCTAACCCACGGACGTGTCGAGGGCAAGGGGCTGATTCCCAGCCAGCGAGTCAGGGAGGGGCCAAGCAGAGCCCGCTGAGGTCCGGGGGATCCGGGAACGGCAGGAGGAGAGGCCCCAGGAGCCACTCAGAGCAGTGCAGGGCCCACGGCCCGCCCGCGCCATGGGGCCACGGCTGCAGGTCAGGCTGGCAGCGCCCTCGGGCAGCCGGGAGACCCCAAGATGGTTGACGCGCTATGTGAGAGGAGTCAGGTGTGCAGCGAGAGGCGCTGGTGGCCTTGCTCCCGCGACCTGAGCGCGTTCAACGGGCAGGAAACCCGGTTTCCCAGCCGCGCCCCGGGAGCAAACTCCGTGCCAGCTCCTGGATCCGCGTAGCCAAGCCCCATCCCGTGAGAGGGGGCGGAGCCACATGTCTCATTTCTGCAGTGGAGTCTGGCGGGGTTGGCTGGCCGGCGGCACCTGGCGGCCCGGCTCTCTGGACCGGGGATCCTCTGAGCACCTGAGCTGGCCGCCGAGCCCGGCTTCACCCCACAAGCAGGTTGATTCTGCAAAGCCTGGAAACACAGCGCGCGCGGTCGGAAATCCTGGGACACCGTCCTGCATCCCGCAGAGGGGGGGAGGCCTGCCTGAGCAGCGCGTGTCAGGGGACGCGTGGGGCAGGACTGGCGGGGCAGCTCTCCGAGTACGCCCTGCAGCACGTTTGCAATTCACGGCCGTACTTTTGTTATCTTTACTTTTTAAAGATTTATTTATTTACTTATTTGTAAGGCAGAGTTACAGAGAAGCAGAGACACAGAGAGAGAGAGGTCTTGCATCCGCTGGTTCACTCCCCAGATGGCCACGATGGCTGGAGCTGGGCCAAACCAAAGCCAGGAGCCAGGAGCCTCTTCCAGGTCTCCCACGGGGTACAGGGCCCAGGGACTTGGCCCATCTCTGCTGCTTTCCCAGGCCAGAGCAGAGAGCTGGATGGAGAGTGGAGAAGCCGGGACTTGAACCAGCACCCATATGGGAAGCAGCACTGCAGGTGGTGGCTTTACCCGTCCGCACAGCGCCGCCCCCCTACAGTACAATTCAAACACGCGCCTGCAGTTCGCTGAGTCGACGGCCGTGCGCTGACGCGGAGCTTCATGGCTTTCTGCGGAGCTGAAGCGTGTTGCTAACGTCTGCCCCTAACGTCGGCCCTGTGAGCGGCCTCAGACGCCGGGCAGCACTGGACAGCCAGCTCAGACGTCCACACCCGCCCACGCACGGCTCTCACGGCCAAGCCCTCGCCAGGCCACGCCGGAACACAGCGACACTTCTTTCTGTATCGTCCCAGCCGAGGTCCTTCGTCTCTTGAAACATTAAAATACAAACAACCAGCTCTGGGCCGGACAGGTCACCCCCGTCTCGCGATGACGCCTTAAGCATCTACAAGCCCCCTCTGTGTGCCACGAGCCCCCTCTGTGTGCCGCGAGCCCAGCTGGGCACCAGGGGCTCGGCCGTGAAAGCCTGGGCGCTGCACAGCCTGGGGCAGTTCCCCGGCCACGCAAAGCAAGCTCCGGTTTTCCTCACCGTGGCCGCCTCCCAGGCAGCTCTGCACGCGGGCACAGGAGCCGGGCCGCTCTCTGCCTCCTGACAGCCTCGTGCGTGATGACCGTGTCCGGGAGAGGGGGAGGCTCAAACACGGCCACTGCCACCGCCTTTGCTGCCAGGCCACTGCTGAGGGCGTTCGGACAGGAGGGTCTTGGCGCGGCTCCCCTGCGCCTGCGAGGGCTTCCGCTCGTTTTCTCTTTGCCTTTGGAAGACGGCGGAATCTGTTGTGTTATCCAGAAGACGCTGCAGGCTAGGGCTGCTTCGCGGATGTTTCTGGAAACTTCTAGGCTTGCAAATGGTTCCTGTTAACGCAGTTTCCCCAATAGTGGTTTTGTGGAGCAGCAGCCCCGTGGGACCCTGTGGGGTCACAGAATTTTCGGGAAAGGACGTTGGGGGAATGCTGCCTACCCAAGCCCACCCCCCACCAGGACCACGCCGAGTCCCTTAGCCTCAAGAAAGAAGCCTGCTTGATTCTGACACCTGCCTCCCCCGGGCACATGTGGCCGTGGCCGCGGCCGCCTCCGCGCGTCACATGGTGAAAGACGACACGTTGTCGTTGTCCACGGTCTCGCTGGCGGGCCTGGCGGGGCAGGTCTCCGAGTACACCCTGGAGCAGGACAAGCCGAGCGCCTGGTGCTTCCTCCTCGCGCACCACAGGTCCCTCGCGACCTTCAGGAAGTAGTTCCTGAACCTGTGGCCGACGAAGGCGTAGAGCACGGGGTTGAGGCAGCAGTGGAGGAAGGCCAGGACCTCGGTGACGTTCTTGGTGTAGCCGATCAGCCTCTCGCTGGCGCAGGACCGGTCCAGGCGGCCCAGGTTGGCGGCCGTGACGAGCAGCACCACGTTGTGGGGGATCTGACAGGCCAGGAACACCAGGACCACGGCTATGATGACGCGGATGGCCTTGTGCCTCTTGGAGTTCTGGGCCTGCACCAGCGTCCTGATGATGAACGCATAGCAGAAGACCATGCAGAGCAGCGGGACGAAGAAGCCGAAGAGCAGCTCGAGCCCCAGCACCAGCAGCTTCCACACGACGGGCTCCGAGACCGCGTGGTACCGGGGCTCGCAGACCTCGCGGCCCTGCAGCTCGTACTTCTGGTTGAAGGTGAAGGTGGAGCTGGAGGTGACGACGGCCACGAGCCACACGGCCAGGCAGACGACCTTGCTGCGCGCCAGGGTCCTGGAGCGCAGCCGGAAGGAGCGGGTGGCCTGCACGATGGCCACGTAGCGGTCCAGGCTGACGCAGGTGAGCAGCAGCATCCCGCAGTTGAAGTTGATGGCGTAGATGCCTTTCATCAGCTTGCACAGGGCGCCGCTGAAGACCCAGGCGCCGGCCGCGTGGCTGACGGCCCAGAACGGCAGCGTGAGCACGAAGAGGATGTCGGCCAGGGCCATGTTCAGGAGGTACACGTCGGTCATGGACTTGGCCTTCTTGTAGCAGGCGAAGGTGACCACCACCAGGGTGTTGCCCAGGAGGCCAAAGACGCAGATCAAGGAGTAGGCGATCGGCACAAACACCCTGGAGAAGTCCCGGACCTCCTGCAGGGAGCAGACCAGGGCGCCGTCGTCCACCGGGTAGTAGGAGGTGTTGGCGAAGTCGGGGTAGTCTTCCCCGAAATAGTAGGCGTCACTGGAGTTCACGGCTTCCTGGGAAAGCGGGCAAAGGCGGAGTGAGCGCTGGGGCAACCCCCAAGGGGCCACAGTTAGACCAAGGGACCCTGCCCGCCCAGACGGAGGGGGGTTCTCACCTCGCCCATCGTGGTGCTGGATCTGGGCCGGAGACGCTGGCCTCGGAGAGGAAGGGGCGCACACGGGCCAGCCGCTAGGGCTCGCCGGCAGAGAACGGCGTGAATCTGCGGAGGAGAGAGAGCAGCACTTCAGTCAGACGGGGATTCTGAGAGCCGAGGGTTAAGCCGCCAGGACCCCGTGCCACGGGAACACGGCACCGCGCTGTTCACACACACGCACTCCCCGAGAGCAGGCGGCGGCAGCCCCTTCTGCAAAGGGCCACGTGAGTCCGGCTTCCGGCCCTGGGCCCCCTCGGATCTGCCCCTCGGATCTGCTTCTGTGGCTCTGCTGTCACTCCCGTGCTAGGATTCTGTGGCTTCTGTGGCTCTGCAGCTGCCCCCGTGGCCGGGCCTCACCAGAGTCTGCCGGCTGCAAACGCCCACCCCTCGCCTGTGGCTTTAAGAAGAATGACTTCAGCGACACCCAGGTTTCCACCTGCACGAAGTGCTCAGGGGAAAATCCGTAAAACCGCGATAGACACAGCCCTGCTAAGCAACGTCTGCAGCAGCCTGGTTGGGCTCCGTGGTCCCCCCCTCGCCAGTCTGTGCAGCAGTGAGACGCACGGCAGAGGTTCTCGGGGTGGACGTGAGGTCACTCCCAGGACCATGGCCGAGGCCTCTATGGGCCTGGCGAGGCAGGCAGGGGTGGAGCCGCCCTGGCCCGGGCCCCTGCACTGGGCACCACGGTGAGCAGGCACTGAGCTCACCCCGAACCCGTTCCTGCATGGAGAGTGAGCTCACACAGCAGGGACACTGGCAGCCGCCGCCGTCGGTGGCGCTGAATGCACACTGCAGCACGGTCCCTCCGGAATGGCGGAAATTTGCAAAGCGGTCGCTGCGATGGGTGGGGCCATGGGGCTCTCAGGGCAGCGGGAGGAACCAAACCACAGCCTCTCGGAGCAAACGTTCGCGGTTGCTTGTGGAGTTAGGAGCACACCCAGCTACCCTGAAAAAGTGAGGTGACCCGAACGTGAAGGCTCCGGGCAGGTGTGTCCCCAGGGGCCCAAGCCAAGACGCCGCACGTGTCCTGTCCACCAGACAGCGTTTCCCTTCCGTTTCGCTTATTTCTGACCAGGATGGAGGAACGAGTCGCAGTAAGCTAGGCTCTGTCGATTCCCCGCCCCCCCGGATGGTGCTCGGTGGCTTCCGGGGCATCCTCGTGGGGTCGTGGGTGCGACCAACTCCCCGGGCTGTGCACGGCTTGCATCTGTGCCCGCCGCTCCTGGCAATGGGAAGTGATTCAGCCTGCCTCAGACCCCGCAGGGCCACGAACGCGTGTGCATTGTTTTAAGGACGCGTGGTGGTGACAGGGGGCCTGCGTGGGCAGGCAGTGCAGCACGTGGAGAAGCCGTGCACAGCCCCAAGTCCAGCTGTCAGGGGGCAGGAACAAGCTGTGCATTTTCTGTGAGGGTCGGGCAAAGCCGCAGCCTGCAGTGCCAGCAACCCAGATGGGTGCGGGGTTCAAGTCCCGGTTCCTCCACTTCCCACCCAGCTCTCTGCCATGGCCTGGGAAAGCAGCAGAAGGTGGGCCAAGTGCTTGGGCCCCTGCACCCATGTGGGAGACCTGGAAGAAGCTCCTGGCTCCTGGCTTCAGACTGGCCCAGCCCCAGCTGCTGTGGGCATTTGAGGAGTGAACCAGAGGACAAAGATCTCTCTGTCCCTCTCTCACTCTGCAACTCTGCCTTTCAAATGAACACGTTTTTAAAAATCTTGATGCAAAGACATTAAAAAGTTTTGAAATAAACATTTCTGTGCCTTCTTTAATGACCTGAGGGCAAACGATGCTGTCAGCTGCCTGCGCTCGCTCAGCGGACGGCACTGGATCTCCCATCCTCGTCCTGTGAGACGCGGCGGAGCTGCCGGCCCCGGCTTGTTCCAGCTTGTTCTGAGGTCATTGCCTTCTTCCTCACTGACTCCCTTCGACCACCAGTCCTGCACATCTATTCTTAAAGTGTCATGGATTCTTAAACGTTTATTGAGAGACACAGAGGCAGATGAGAGATCCCTGCCGAGGACCCGCCCCGCAGATGCTGTGACAGCCGGGACTGGGCTGCGCTAAGCCGAGAGCTGGGGATTCGGCCTGGGCCTTCTGCATGGCTCCTGGGGACCCAAGCACTTGAGGAGCACCTGCTGCCTCCCAGGTCTGCGCGGCGGGAGGCAGGGGCTGCGAGCAAGGCCAGGATGGCGAGCCCAGGCGCTCCCACGTGGGAGGCGGGCATCTCTTTTTTTTTTAAAAAAAGATTTATTTAATTTATTTGAATGGCAGAGTTAGAGAGAGAGAGAGAGAGAGAGAGAGGTCTTCTATCTGCTGGTTCCCTCCCCAAATGGCCACAACAGCCAGGGCTGGGCCAGGCTGAAGCTAGGAACCAGGAGCTCCATCCGGGTCTCCCACGTGGGTGCAGGGACCCAAGCCCTTGGCCCATCTTCTGCTGCTTTCCCAGGCCATTAGCAGGGAGCTGGATGGTGAGTGGAGCAGCCGGGACTCAAATTGGCACCCGTATGGGAGGCCGGCACTGCAGGCGGTGGCTTTACCGGCCGGGCCACCGTGCTGGCCCCTTGGGAGGCAGGCATCTTAGCTGGCTTCCTCACCACCGGCCAGACGCCCTCCCCCAGACCTTATCTGAGGTCATTGCAGGGCCGGCGGTGTGCACCTAGCCCGGTTGTAGCAGTGTAACCTGTGCTGTTCGGGATCAAGGCTTCTCGATGGCGCAGGTCTGGGGACGCTCGCACACCACGCACGGTGCAAGGGTCAGCAGGGCGGCCGCCAGCAGGCGTCCCCGGCTGCACAGGGGGGGTCCTGGGCCCGGTTCCGCTTTGCACTTCAGACTCTGCCCTTTCAGTGTCAGGCGGCCTGGAGTCCCGAGCTCACCACCACCCCTGCCTGCAGCGCAGGACGGCCCCCAGGGGCCCCCCAGGAGCCAAGATGGCCTGGGCACCCCGCTGACAGTGAGTGTCCCGTTGGCGGAGGCCTCTGTGCCTTCTTCGAACCCAGGGAGCAGGATTTCCCGACCGCAACGTCCCTTCTCTGCTTTTCAAAGAACTGTCAGGTCGGAAGTTAGAGCTCAGCCAGGGTGAGCGGGGCCTGAGGAACAAAGCTGCTGCAGGAGCTGCCCTGGGAGCGGCCCAGGACTCACTCTGCCAAGTCCCGCCCAGACCCGGCACCTGCCAGGTGGTCTCACCCCCCCCCCCCGCCGAGGAGCGCTCCCCCAGACTCCTCTCTGCTCAGCACCGCAGGGTTCCTCGGCCTGACAGCACAGAGCCACCCGACCATCACAGCTCCGCCCAGCAGGCCCCGGGAGGCTCCTCTGCCCAGCCTGACGGGCTCCCCAGCCTGGGGCAGTGAGCAGTGCACCCTGGGGAGGACTGCACCCGATCCCCAGCCTGGCGGCAGTGAGCAGTGCACCCTGGGGAGGACTGCACCCGAGCCACCACGCTCTGCAAACCCTGTGTCCTGGGGGGGGGGGGGGACCGCGGGGAGAGCTGGACCCTTCCCTGAGAAGCCGCGGCGTGAACACAGACTGCGCGCTCGGCCCTCCGCTCTGCTGGGCCGCCCGCCGGGCCCGCCAGGTGCATCTCTCCGCGTAACCACGGCCCTTGCTCTGCCAGTCTGAGGGACGGGCGCTGCTGGGAGTCTGTCCCATCCCTTCTGACGGATGCCCTAACCCACTCAACCTTGCTGCCTTGCTGCCCGCCGTTCCCGTCTCCCGTCTGAATTCCTCCTTGTGTGAAGACCAGAACCCACCCCACCCATCTCCGCTCACAGAACCTCTTCAGAAAGTCCACAGAGCAGGGACGAGAAATCCAAGCTCTTGCAGAGAGAGAGATCGCGGCTCCCCGGGGGGCGGCCAGCCCGGGCCCTGAGGGGTGTCTCGAAGGACCGCCAGAGGGCCTGGGCTGCTGTCTGGTCACGCCGAGCCCCCCGCCCCGGCGGTCACGGTCACTGGACAGCAGATTAGGGAAGTGCTGCAGACGTTGCAAATCCGTGATTCAACCTGAAATCTCGACGCCATCGGCATGGGGAACTGAGCTCACTCGCTGCGGTGTGGACAGCTGCCCAAGGGCGCGCGTCAAGAGCCGCTGGACGCCAGCTGGACGTGGGACCGCGAGCACGGAGCCCCTCCCCCAGCTGTGATTCGGACCACACAACTGCGTGCACAGACTCCACAGACTCCAGCGAGGGGCCACGGCTGCTGTGAGAAAACTCAGCCGGGCAAACGAAGTCCTGCACCTGGGTTTAAGCAGCCCACCCACGGGCCCCGCACGAGCAGCCGCTTCAGCAGAGAGGCAGCTGCCCTACGCGGGCAGGCTGTCCACCCAGCTGCAGAGCCAGCCGGCTCCGCCCTCACCACGTGGCCTCCCGGGTCACTCACCGCCTCTCGCAATGCAGGCACCCCTGGGGCATGAACTCCGCCCAGCGTGAGTGGGGCCTCTGCTGCGTGACGGGGGTCAGGCCCCGCTGGACATTGGAGAGGGCGGGGCTCACAGGAGGCTGCCCCTCCCCTCTCCCCGCCCCCCGGGCTGGGGGCCCCAGAATGCCTCCCGCACGCTGCCATCAGACTCACGTCCACAAAGCCGGATGCCCCGTGCGGCACGTGTTCAAGCAGAGAGGTCGCGTGCCCACAGGGCTCATCGCATCCACGCGGGGAGTGTGGGTGATGGCGCGTGGGCCACGAGGGCACGCGGGCAGCCAGAGGAGTCTCCTGTCTGGTGGTCATGGTCCACACGTCACGTGATGGTAACTCAGCTGTGTCCCCGGCCAGGAGTGCTGCGGTCATGCCTGGTGCACGCCTGTGGCTTGGGAATCACTAGAATTTAGTGTCAAGTAGGGTCTGTAGGTCCTATGGACATCCGCTGTTGAGCCCAGCTCTTCACTGTAGCCCAGTTTCCACGGCACAGCTGTCCACTGTCCACTGTCCAGTACAGCTCTTCACCGTGGCCCGGTCTCCACACCTGTCCACTGTCCCGTCTGGCTCTCACCGTGGCCCAGTCTCCACACCTGTCCACAGAGTCCACTGTCCCATCCGGCTCTCACCGTGGTCCAGTCTCCACACCTGTCCACTGTCCTG